TATATATATATATATATATTTATTTATTTATTTATTTATTTATTTATTCATTTTGAAACTGTTGCAATTGTGAATAAAAGTGTATTCTTAGAAATAAAATTTATGATATTTTTTCGTCTTATCCATTTTTAAATCAAAATTGTTTTGGCTTCATTTATTTTATTGGGTTTTTGACATCATTTTCCGTCTATATTTGTCTTAAACTTTTCAATTGTTTGTTCGTATATTGTAAACATGGATAGAAGCTCTATGAAAATTGAGAGGTAATGTCTCCAGAATGAATAGTTTTATATTGCTTGTGTTATTTTGTTTTCAGTGTCCTGATTAATAAACTAAGTGCAGTTTTCTACTAAATTTATATATACAAGGTCTAAGTTATTTAACTCTATTGTGAATTGCAGAACTGTTTACTTTTTATTGTATATCCTACTAGTCTACCTATTATATCGTGCACATCCCTAATTGTTTTACTCCTATTTAACTCTTTTTCAATCTTTTTCAAGTTGTTTGCGTTTTGAAAAAAAAAATCTGTATCAAATATTTCCGCACAAATCATGGTTCCTCTTTAAATAATGAAATCCTTCAAACAAATAGGATATATAGTTTTTATGCACTTTAATCTTGTCACATGTTTAATGTAAATGTGCCGGTAGTAGTTTTTGTTCAGCGAAGAGACAGTTTTTACAAGTATTCATAAACTTCACTGGAAGATTGTGCGGGGTCAAAAATTAAAGTCGAGTGGTGTTCAAAGGTCAAGGGCTTGTGTACAGTATATTTTAATGGGAATTGAAAGTAGGATTTGTTAATGGTTTGAACTATGACTTCTTGCTTCAAATATTTGGGATGGGGTGCAAAATCTTTAGTCGAGATTATTATTTTTTAGGAATCAGCAAAAAAGTGGTTGCTAGCGGTCTTCAGTTTATTTCTCTCGTCTTTTTTTCAATTCTGATTTCTTTCAGTCACCGTGGTGACGCGGGAAAAAAGACGGGAAGCATTTGATTATTTTGGAGGAGAAAAAAGTACTTAACACTTGAAAGAATCCTCGGAGGGATTGAATGGTTGAATGATAGCCTACCATAACCCCTCTTTACTGATATGACGGTTTGAGTGACAAATATATTTTTAGTAAAATGATGAAGTTAACAAATGTTTTCAATGCCAAAGATGTGAAGATGAGGTGTTTCTGCGGAGAAGATTACCGCTTTTAAAGGCGAAGCTACGCTAGCTCTGAAAAGTAGTAAAAGCTCTCAATTTAAAGTTAAGCTAGCTCTCAAGAGGGCGATGAACATGTTACCATGTTTTTCGTTATTAAATTCAGGTTTATGGAGCTGAGATGAAGCTAGGCTTCTTTAGTTCACCACAAGAAGGTTAATTCTTTAATTCTTAGTGCATAGCTAGAATGGACTATGTATAGTTTGGCTAGTATCTCAGACTCTAATCATTGCTACTTGACGCTTACGCAAATTACTTTTGCCCTTTTCAATTATGTTGTGGACAAGAGAAACAAATGCGTAAGGAGAGTGCAGCGCCGAAACATTTTCTCATTTTCGTTCCGATGAATGCTTTCAAATATTTGTCTAATATTTATTTACCCATGAGACCACAAAATATATATTTATGAAAATATACTTTTATATGTATCCCAACTCTATTTTCTCTTTTTGACAAATACTTCTAACAAATTGCCTTTGTCTGGCTTCTCTACATTTGCCACAATTGCTTGATAAATTATCATGATTATATTCCAAAAGCCAAAAACTAACTATATTTACATATGATTTCGCTTGAAAATTTGTATTTGTATATTGCGAATGACAGATGAGGAATTTTTGTCAGAAATTAGCCAGCCTAAAAAAAGATCCCGAAGTTATTCCCATGAGAGTTAATGCTTCAAAGATTGAAATAATTGAATTAAAACTGGAACCACTCCCCGCTATGCTCGATGACAGGAAAGCAGCGCGGATCTTGAGATTGACTGCCTTAACAGAATATGCAAATGTGAAGGACGAAAATGGAGAAAATTTTCTTTTGCTATTTTAAGCTTTAATATGGAATAACTACTTCAGTGCCGAGCTTTCGATATGTTCACCTCAATTGATGCTCTCTTACAAAACGAGAGTACTATAGTCAACAGTAGCACCGGAGGCTGTCAGCTTACCGCCACAACTATTGCTACTGCAGCAGCATTTGAGAATTGCCGGAGAAATTACGCAGAAGTTGTCCAAAATATTGATACCAGCAGAAGTAATGAGGATCATCTTACTTTTGATACCAGAAATTCTCAAATGTTGTCGGGAAAGCTATCACACTGCAACACCTTATCTGATATGGGAAGTAAGCATGCTGGTACATCTTTATCCCCATCTTCTGCATCGTTTTTGTTTCCATCAGTATCGGCAACGACATCATCATTATCGTTACCAACATCATCATCATTATCAAAATCATCCATTCCTACAACTTCTATAACAAAGCCAGCATCATCATCATTAGCAGCGGCCACAGCAGTAGCACCGATGATAAGAGACCATTTGCCATATTCATCTGTTTTTCAAGCGGCTAATATCCCATTACTGTATGATCATTTAGCTTTAACAAGTTAGTCGCTTTCAGAGCTGAAATTTCATAGCTCGAATAGGGTGGAAGAGCTTTCAGCAGTTAAAAATAAAACAAGAGTAATTTGATAGGAATTCTTTGATACTACTCTTTTTGGAATTCAAAACAATTTTCGTAAGATATAATTATAAGTAAAAATTGCTCTGATTCCGGTCGCTTTTTTCTTTTTAATTAGAAGGAATTACTGAAAATGTATACTATCTGAAAACGAGATTTCACTGGTTTAGAGTAGAATATAGTTAATTAATTTATTAAATCTTACGAGACTGTTTATTTTGTAAAATAAATATTGTAAAGTCAGCTGCAATTTTGGAAAGTAGCAGATTTGATTTACTGTGCAGTTTTTTTAATGTTTCTTAACTAGACTTTGTCTTTGAAGAGAGACAAAAGTTTCAACGTTTGTAGCTGACTGGAATTTCGCTTAGTAAATTTACTTTTGCTAGCAATTGCAGTAAATGCTTGGCAAACTTTGGGCAAGATACGACGACCGCGAACAGCTTTTACAACTGAACAACTCATTGAACTTGAAAAAAACTTTGCACAAAACCGCTACTTATCGCGACCTAGGAGGTAAGCACTTCTTAAATTTCTAGCTCTGCTAGAGCAGCAATGAAGTTCAGTTTACTAGCAGTGTGTTGAAAAGTGGGGGAAAAAATGATTCTGGATGCCAATTAGAAGGAATAAAATTCTGATATTCGTCCTTAAATTATATATCAAGTTCGTTTCATTTTTAAATCCGAAAAGCAACATTTCAAGCGTTGAAGTTTGACATTAGCTTAATTCACACAACTGCTTATCTTCTTAGGCCTTGAAACTTGTTTTATTCCTTGCTTATTCAGTTTATTAGACAAAGTGATGAAAAGATTCAGCTATGAGGTAGTGAAGGATTTCAATGACAATCATAATAAATCTGTTTTTGAGATCTTTAGTGAGTTACGGTGAAAATGAAAAATGGTATTTTAAAAAATCAACATGGTCAAGTTAAGTCATTGTGAATTAATCCTTTGAAAATCGAAATATCTTAAAAAAATATTGGTGAGAGCAACAATAATTATAATAATAAATGAATGCCTGTACTTGGGTGAGTAATTAAAAAGTCTTCCCGTAGGAAAAGGATTTCCAGTAGTTGATTCGAAAAAAATCCTTACGGTTTCTATTACGTCCATTATTATTTATATTATTGTGATTAATTGATAAAAAATGTGGTTAGACAGGTGTTTTAGGTATCAATTGGCTCAAGAATTGCATTTATCCGAGACCCAAGTGAAAATATGGTTTCAGAACAGACGTATGAAAAACAAAAGATCTGCAAGTGGGATGTTAAATCTAAATGAAAACCCAAACCACGTCTGACTAATCAATCAATTTTAAATTTTATGAGACTTCACACAAATATTTAATCCTTGCAACTGATAGAAAATTACATTTGATCTGCTGAGTTAAAAATCTCACCATGACATCACATTCATTTGAACTGGACTGTTCAAAAATTCCAGTTCCAAATTTCTCAAATATTTGCCAAAAGTATTCTGGAATGAATAGTTTACAGAATTAAATTCTTTGTTAATTAAAATTTTCATTCTTCAAATTCTAAAATGTATGGGACTAGTGAAATTAGTTTTCACATCAGTGTTCACAGTAAAATATCATGTGGTTTTTTGATCCTTTTGATTAGAAATGTAATGATCACTCGCAGACAATATCCAGAAATAAAGTATTTATTTAAATCTTGAATACAAATACAAAAGTTAGAACATTTATAAAACGATCAGACAGCTTTTTACGTAATTTTACGGCAGAATTATGTTGATGGAATAAACCTGTGATTAGAATGTAGTCCGTGATAACGATCAATCCGCTTCTAAATGTTCTCTGTACTTTTTATAAGGAATCTTTCAACTTCTGTTCTACAATCGCAAATCGCATAGGGATATGTCTGTCCCAGTTGGAAACAAGAGGAAAGGTCAAGTTTCGGGAGTAATAGTCATTAGAACTTAGAATGTTGACCAGAGTATAAAAATTTGCTTATGAAAAAACTTTTTCATAATTTTGCGTTTTTTAGAGCATCCCAATTTCATTCCAATAGCTTCAATCTAAAATTAACTTTAGAGTTTAGAAATTCATTTTCGAAATTTCATATAGTTTCACCGGCAATATTTGATGTGATCATTGAAGAGGTGCAAATATTTAATTTATGCGAAAGGAAACGAAACGTTTGTTGCAGTGACGAGTTGAGTGCACTGGTTAAGTTTTGCGGGCTAATCGTTGTAATACCGCAGCAGACCTGCGTACACGTGACGTAACCACACCAACATTGAACAGCTGCTCTAAGTAGTCACATTTCAATGAATGGATTACTTTCAGCCGCACTTAGCAACTTTTTATTAAACCGTCTCAGATGTGTTAACAACAAACGTCATATTTCAAGATTTTGTGCAACATTTAGTTTTTTTGTTAGATATACATGATAACTTAGAAGTTTGAGATCAACTTCTGATCAAGCTTATCATAAGGGAAAAGTTCGATCTCTGGCGTTTGAATATTATGATGCTGCTTTGATTTCTTATAAATAAACAGAATTAATAACAATAACTAGCTTTTCATTGTAGCTTCCAATATTGCTTCTTTTTAGAGTTGTGCAAATTGATTTGGAAGAGCAGAAATTAGAAAATTCAAATGGCAGCCTCAAGTTAGTCGTAGGCATATAAATAGACATAAAAGATTCACCTGCTCTGTGTTGTCAATAAATTACTTCAGATAATGTTTTACTAACAAATAATAAAAGTGAACATTTCGATTTCAGTAACGGTTTTAATCATTTGTGTGCTCTGATCTTGAGCCCTTTCATTTTTTTATATTTGCGATAAATTGCGAAAATTATGAGAACACCCAGTTTTAGCAAGTTCAAGTTAGATACCAGGCAAGAAATATAGAAAAAAGCAAAGAAACCTATGGAAATTACCACCACTGCATGGGTACTGCGTCTTAGGTCGATAAGTAACTTGACCATACGAATATGACGTGCTTGAAGTGATGATATCAGACGTATTCAAATAACCTTTCAATATTCTTTTTCCCTTCAGCATCAACGGTTGAAACGTTGTGTTAACCAACCCTCCCACTACAACTTAGCTTTTCCAAACATAAAAACACGTAGATGCGAGCTTGCACAAGTCATGAGTTAGGCTAGTAGTGAAGTAGAGACAATACCACAGACCTACCTGCCAAGTAATGCCTATTCATTCATTCATTCATTCATTCATCCACCTAACTATGTATCTATCTATTTATCTATCTATCCAATCTATGTAATCATCTATCTATCTATCTGTCTATCTATCTGTTTTACATTCATTTATTCTTGTTATCTATCTATCCTGTACAGCCACTGCACAACCTCGCACAACACACATATTCGTACCAGATGTGGCTTTTGTCGGCTAAATATATCATTGCAAACAAATCGTACCGAAGCAAATTACTTTCTTTCCTTTTCTTTTATTCTTTTAATTTTATCTTTTGAAATTTGAGCAATTTGTGGATTTTCGATGTAAGCAAAGGTCAGAAGAATGGTCATAATAAGAAGGTCAGGCAAAATTGTGTTAAGCATTGTCAGTTGATGTAGAGTGCTGACATAAATGCAAAATACAAGCAGTGAGGGAAATAAATGTGGCTTGCGTTTCGCTAGATATTCTTTCCAAACATTTTCCCACACTTTAGCAAGTGCTGTAAGTGTTGCCGCAATGCAAAACATATGGCAGCGTGAGACATTTAAATAAATCAAAACTTGTCTAATGCTACTATTTTTGCAACTTTGCATTTTCAGTCCAATACAGAACTGGTTCTGCAGAGTAATGTAGGAAGGGATTGACCTGACCTACATATGACCTTTCATGTTCTTTTGTAAGTGTTCGTGAATGCCAAGTAAGGTATCATTATATTGGGAGAAAGTTCTTAACTTCACTGGCTTTATTCACTCGCCTAATTTTTTGAAGAGAAAACAGTGCTCAAGTTTTATCTTCTCTGTCACGTATTTGCGAGTTCTAATCAAAATTAAATCAAATCAAATCAAATTAAATCATTTCAGTAACCTTGCTCAAACCTGTACCTAAGCGAAATGGTATATGAAATGGAAGGATGAGTGTGTGGTGCTTAAGAGTCATTTGTATAGTACCAAGTTTGGTTCAAATTAATGAGGACCCGAACGATTTTGATTGTAGTGCTGTTGTTATTGTTGTTGCGGCATTTGAAATGTGTGCAAAAGTGATAGAAGGAGAATTCATGGTGTTGATGAAAAATGCTGATAAAACAAGGCAAGTAATGCTCAAGATGAATAAAACGACAATCACTTCCCAACTCTTTTTCAACCTCTTTCGGTGCTTGGATATTACATACTTGAGCTACAAATGCCATTATCTGCACCTCTTATATTACCCATTTTTCATAGCACCAGCCGCTTGTATTTGATCTTTCAGTTAGTATCATACTCCACAATCAAAGTCGGTACCAAGCGTTTATTTTTTGGGTGTCAAGTATCAATTTTCTAAATTAGTATGTCCAAAATATCTGTAAGTGATAATTACGTCAATCTTTTATTGTTGCAAATTTGAACTAGTGTTTTTTAATGCTAATATAAAAATCTGTTTGTACAAAGTGATTATTTTGTTTATTTGTAAGTGTCTTTCTCATCGTCGTTCTCAGTGCTTCCACTGATAAAAGCTATCAGTGCAAACGTGCTTTGTTTTGTCATACAGCCATTAGCGGTTTCAGTTGTGTTCATGTGTTCAAGCGTTTATCTTTTGGGTGTCAAGTATCACATGCACTTCTCTGATATTACTTACACGTTGAGTATTACTGCACGTTTATCTTTCTAAACAGTGCCTTTATTTGCATAGATTGATTGCAAATATTTTATCATTGGCTTATCTGTAATACTTTAAGTTCAATTAGATCTCATCAAATTACGTCAGTTTTTAACTGGTAAAGGTGCATTTATGGATTAGCGTAGGATGTCAACAATCACAGTGATGAAAGCAACTAATGCTTTCACTCTTTCATCGAGCAAATCCAGTCCACGTAATATTAAATTAGGCACTCGCATTCTGTTGAACAACATTCAGTGTGTTAGCCTTACTTTCCTTGCTTATTTAGCTCAAAAACTAACTACGACAGCGTAGTCTCATAGAAACTACCGTACAACCCCGAGTATACTGCATATTCAAACTGTCCAAATATAATATAATATTATAACTAAGAACTTTTACATTCTCAATCATGACAATATTTTTATAGTTTATTATGGGACGATATTTTTTACCTGTTTGTATAATTCACAATTGTTTGTGAAACTCACTCACAACTCAATATATGTACCGTAGTTGCGACACATTTGATTGCGGTATAAAAATAAACCTAAATATTGCTGTTTATTCCTATTAATTTCATTTTTACTTTCATTCTTGGACGACCCAAAAAACTTATTTTGTAACATACCCTACAAATGCTGTCATCAACATTCAGCTTTTTTCTTGTTGACTGTCGTTCGCTATTCACGTTTTGTATTCAATCGCAATACCAAAAGCGATTTTAGTTCTAGTAAATGGGCTCAAGCATTTACGAGACAGCTTTAATTTCGCTTGAGGAAGCGTTAGCTTCAGTTACAACTACAACAAAACTATTAGCAACCGGTTGCCCTAATGTCATCTGTACCGCACTACCAAATCATTGGAGGAGTAATAAGTCGTTACCCACACCATTCACTGTATTTGCACTAGGACCTGTACCGGATGGAACGCTTGTTACCGTATCGGCTGGAAACGAGGAAAATTGCTGTGCTGACTTACGGAATAATCGAACTCAAATGAACAGCCAAATCGCACGTTTCAATGATTTACGGTTTGTTGGGAAAAGTGGAAGAGGTAATGAATGATCTGATTTTTGTTTCAGTTTAAAAGAAGCTGCATCCTTAGTTATGTTTGTTATTCTCAATTTAAATAAATTGTGGCTTCATTTAATATCTAAATACTGTAGCTGTCTTAGTCTTGAAACACAATTATCGTCAACTTTCTCTTCTTATTTTCATGGTTTAAGAGTATTTGCTTTTTCTAATAATTCAAAGCAAGATGTCAAGTACTATTTTCAGAAATCATCGAAATCCTTGTCATCTCTGTTTTAATTATTATTGATGTTGCGTACTTGAAGGTATGATATATGATTATTGTAATTACTGTTATTGTAATTGCTGTTACAATAATCATATCATACCTCATGTGTAACAATAATATTAGCAATAACAGCTATCACTGCAATGTGCAGTATCTAAGAATTATTATTTTGAGTATAATACTTCTGTAAATAATCAAGGTATAGATGATATTGATATAGCGGTATACATAATGATAAACTATATGGTGGTAGTGAAGTATTTACATTGACAGCATAAAATTAAGGAAAAAACTTTCATCTCACAATTACCATCAATACGAAACCGGCTCAGATAGCGATCGTTGGCAAGGCAATTAAGGTTACTGTTGATGGTCCTCGCGATTCTCGAACAAATAAGCGTACTGGTGAAATTTCATCATTTCTTCTACTTGCTGATTATAATTTTTATTTTATTCTTTCATTTTTGTATTTTCGAATTGGACTAAAATTGATCAACTTGAATACTTTTTGAACGGAAACTGACAAAGTTTGATCGCAATAGAGAAAAGAATTCATTCAAATTACGAATTTTCGAGTTAGCAAAAAGTATTAATCTGTCATGAATTTTGGCTGTTTGTTGTAAAAGAAATCAGAATTGCATCAGTTCTAAAGTTTATAGAAACGAATTACAGCATTGGATCGGCATGCGAGCTCGTCAGTTTCCTCAGATGATTGTTCGGTAAGTAGTAAAGTGCGTCGTCATGCCTCTTCCGTGATTCCACGACCGATTCCTACTTTAATACCTTCGCTTCCGGTATTTTCTCCTCTCTTCCATCCCTTCCACTTTGTACCGAATAACCCAATACCCACTCCAATATCAATGAACTTTCCTGCTCATCACTTACTGCCTCATCCCCACTCCCATCCATTACATAATTCTGTACCCTCAATCATGCGACCCGTTGCACCCGCTGTTTCTGGTTTACCTGCTGTTTTGAATCACACACTCTCACTACCTATCGAGGAACAGCCTATCGGAAGTAGAACAAGACAGAAAATGACTAAAATATGGAAACCCTACGATATTAAATCCTGAATTTGTTCATTCTATATTCTTGAGTGGTATTTATGTCATCAGGCGAACCCAAAGCTTGTAGTTTCTATAGCTCTCTTGATTCCTAATTATCGATGTTATGCTAGTTTTGGTATGTATATTCTTGTTTTTTCCAAAATGTGTAAACACCTGACGAATGCAATAAATGAGAATCTTAACCTGTATTATAACGTAACTTGTTACATTTTACGGTACCTGTTTTGATTACTCTTTTCTGCACAATCCTACCAAATTATTCATTTATATAATATATAAGGCTGATCATATTTGTCCATATCCATGTGATAACACTGTGAACATGAATTTTTTGTATTCTGAACTCAAATTTCTGTTCCTCATTTGTTTGTACTCAGTGAGCATGCGGTTTGTACTTGCGTCGATTAAATTTCATTGTAATAGCCAACGCGGGATCATGTTAGGATTTTAATAATACGTGCAATTATTGCTGCTTTTTTTTTTATTTTTTTTGACGTTATTTTGTGCATCTGCAAGAGTAGCAAGTGGGAGAATTACTCGCATATTTGTAAATGAATTGTGCTCTTGATCTCATATATCATTTTCTTACATTTACACTGTTGTTTTTGCGTATGCATTCATAATTTGCCCCATTTATTCTGTTGGGATTGTAATAATGAGTATGGTTTTCGAATAATCGTGATCATATCTACAAATTAAAACCAAGAATGAGTATGCTGCTTTAGGTTTCGATACACTTGCATATCCTGAATTGATATTTGTCAAGAATTAGTCACACTCAAAAAATTATCAGCTACGCCGAAGCATCTTTCTGTGTTGACAGTTATTCTGCTTTTAAGTAAAATTCTAAAAGGAAGCTTCATGTCGGCATTGAAATCAATTCACACCCTTCACCTTGACTTTCTTGATTTTGTGGACATCCAACTACCTTTTTGCATGAATATTTATTTCCTCCTTGCGCTGTAAATTGCTACATCATGTTCCATCCCCGTTCTGCATCAGACAGTGCATTGGTGGTAATTCTTTAAGCATATGGTACGCTTACATACTGTTATGAGTGGATGGGTACGAATGCTGTGGAGAAATAAAAGTGTAGTTCATGGATAAGGGGTGATGTAGAGAATCAGTGTGATAATTTATAAAAGAATCGATTGATTGTAATGCATTCTGCAATAAAAGTCGAGCAAATGCAATTGTTTCTTCTGATTCTGTTTGGGGTATTTGATATGTAACCATGATAACAACACACTCTCACTGATTAGAGCAGATAACAATCTATCTGCATGTATTCTTCATATATATTTAATGCCTGTTGAACAACAAGGCCATTCATTATCAGTTTTATCAGTGCCACCATCACCATCAATGTTCCACTCTAATAAAACATATCGCCTTCGAAAATCTGTGTTAGTGACACGGATTATAAGCTAGCCAAATGATGACCCGATCTTCTTGTGTCAACCATCTCCATATATTTTTTCTTCTCCATCTTGTTTCTCCTGCTTGAAAAAACTTGCAACAGAAGCGATAACCACATGCATATACCTTAACCAAACATTTGACTCAGCACACTGTCGAGAAATAAATTACATTAAGCGATTTGATTTTCTAAAACTAAACCAATACTGTAACAATCATGATTATATTCAGCTAAATCTATAAAATTGTCTTTAGTGCTTTAGAAAAGCCAAAAACCAATATTAATCACCCGTATATATCTGGTAAATTCTTTGAGAGGTAGACATTAATCGTGATGCAGGCATATTACCAAAAACTTTACTTAGAACCTAGTACACTCAACGCTGCACAAATTAAGAAAATGACATCAAGAAGTAAAGAAAAAATTCGTCTCACGCAACAAAAAATACTACCAGTGAAAACAGAACAGCCTTTTTAAAAAAGCAAAGGTCGACTAGAAGTATATCATGACGTAGAGGTATGAGTCTAGCAAACAAACAAGCGAATATTTGAATTTTGGATCTCCAAGTAAGGACAATTACTACATCGTCCAATATTCACTGTTGTGCACATGCTTCTAGTCTTAGTTAACCGACAGCTGCACAGAAAAAAGCTTTGACGTGAATTTTAATTGCACCTGATATTTCATATGTTTAGTAGATATAATTCCAGTATGAAAAAAAACTAACCGAAATGATCAGTAGCTTGCATTCAAATAGTAATGAACTCCGTAGAAAGGTGTGTAGTTTGGATGAAGTGAATGCATGCTAACATTAAGGAGTTTAAGACTAATAACAAAGCTTAGAGACAGTTAGTTGCACATATCACGACTTGGAAATAAATACAACTCTCAACATTTCAGAATTAAACAGAAGCATAAGATAGCGCGATAAAATCAAAAACAATCTCGCGATTAGTTATGTCATCCTATTCACAGTAACTTGTGAAAAGTATTTCGTTGCACAAAAATAGCTAATTTTTTGAAAATAAGACCATATTTTCAGTGAATAAAATTGTGGAACTAAAGTGCATAATGGACATCAGAATAGTAAACGAAAATATAAGAGGTGAGAACAGACAAGGCAGAAAAAGTGCTGAAATAAGATTCAAAAATTCTGACAAGCGACAGCATTTCCATTCCCACAAAAGCTTCCAATGAAAAATAGTTAAACGGCTCACAAGAATATATGGAGAAATGCAATAACGTGGGAATTTATTCTGGTATTCAGCATATTCCAACACAAAACGAGCAACATTCTATAGAAGCAGCAATATATGATCCACTAAAATACTTTTACTTTGCAATTCATAAATCTAATATCACACAATATCCTTTGCTTTGCTGCACAGTGCTCAAATACAAATCCAGAATACTGACAACATGAAAATTTAAAAACTGACTTTTTCTAATAAGTCAAATACATTTGAAAAGGTCAAGCAATGGACTTTATACTATCAAAACTCCTAACGACTGGTGCTTTAATAATAAACCCAATGAAATGAAATTAGTATAGCAGTACTCATTTACAGAGATGTTCATTTCTATTCACTACAGCTTCAGAAAGACAAGCAGAAGATAACCAGAAACTTCAAAAAAGCTTTGAGAAAGATTTTGAAAATTTTTGTGAACTTTACAGTCCAAGAGAATGCAACTAATTAATATCAATTTTAAAATAACTGCTGCAATACTTCGATGTATAGTAGTCATTTTGAAATTATTATGAACCAGTCGGGATTTACTCACTAAAAAAGTTTTTCAAAATGTTTCGCACTGTTACTAAGTTCTGCGAACACTGAATATACATAATGTTCTTCACTTTTCTTTTCAAGAAATGAATTAAACTTGAAAATTTAAAAAACAAACATTTAATCAATTGTGATGCAATATATTCTTATTTCAGCAATATTTTTTCATTACTAAGTGATCAGTGGGTTAATAATAATAGTATCCACCATAACTTCCCTAAGATCTGAGATGCATAGAAGGAATAGATTGGAAAGGAAAATTTCTGGCGTTCAAACTTGTATGAATCGAATTGCTTACGGATGTTGACCAAGGCTAAAAAATGAAATTCTGATGTCACCAGATCTATTATTAAAACAAAAATTTTTAAAATAATAACTCATATTTATATTCGACAAAATTTCTCATGAAATAAGAACTGGAATTTCATTTTTCAAATTAAATTTTATGCAAAGTGTATGAAAAGTTTACATGCATAAATATCCAAAAAACTCTATGCCATTTCTGTTTTTACAGCTTTGGCTATTTGAGTACTGAAAAATTTATCTTACATGTAGATGTTTGAAAAATTTGGTGTAAAAACTAGGCACCAGGTATGCTGCTTCCGCAAAAGTAGGCTTCGTATTTCTTCCTTCCTCCAAGTCTATTAATCGATTAGAAATTGGGGAACGTACAGTCTTTGAAGTCCTATAAAAAAAAACTAATTCTGCACATGTATGGATCGAAATCATGGTTCTGCACTGCATAACTTAAAAAAATACAGAAAAAACTAATAATTTACAAGTGCTTAATTTTTTTCCAACTTGATTTCTCATATCTCTAAAAATCGACTACTTTATTAAATATACCAGCACTTTATGATCTCAATCCAAATAACTGCTTGCCTAAAATTGAAAGCCTGATGTTACCAGGAACTAATAAGTGTTTACCGATCACCTAATTTTAAGAAGAATGATGCTGAACATACTGTTTTAGCACTGCGATCGGCAAATCACAACGATTACTTGAGCAGTAAGGCATATAGGATTCCACTTGCAACGGTCTCTTATGTGTACAAATCATTGGTTCATGATCCCTATAAGGACCTTCCCGAACATGGCGAACCTTCAATAAGCTCAAGTAATTTATAATTCATGTACAAATGAATATTCTAGTTTTTCTTTTTTTGAATCTGTAGAGCATAATTCAAAAATATTTAATTCTTCTTACTTGCCAACATTGCTGACAAAAATAGTTAAAACAGCTTAGTTCACGACAAAAATAGGGTCCTTGAATGTATAGACATCCAGAGCACTTGGCATCATCCAAAAATGGATCGATTTGAATTCTTTTAATAAATTTGGATGTGTGGATTTCAAGGTATCGGGATTCAACAGCGCGAAAGTAAGCAGACTCTGTTGAAAAAGTAACACGTGCACTGCCTGCAATCAAATTACGTTCTAATTAATGGCTTCATGGCAATTGAATTTTGACATTAGAAGACATTTATACTACCAATTTGAATGCTACATGAAATTTAGCTGAAAAAAATAGACATGTCGTTTCTTTCCTACTTTTGATCTCAATAACGCAGTATAAAAGAACATATAGGTCATGATTTGCTTGGCGACTGTCATTAAAATCGTACCTATAGGGTACTTCAAACGATCTGTGTCTATACCAACAAATAGCACATCACCATAAACATCTCTCATGATAGCAAATAAAACCTTAATAAGAACCATTAACAAGGTTTGCTAAAATAATGGCAATAAAAATTTTTTTTAAAGAGCTAAATTTGAAAAAAGATTGTTTAATCATGCTGAAAAACTGATTGGAATTTTTTAGCTCTTATTCAAACTTGATTTTTTTTTGCCATAAAATTCACCTTTGCTGTGATCATGCCATGTAAAGCACCCACAAATACTGTTCTTTTAGGTTCCAGAACAACATTAGGCCTTGAACAGTACAAAGAATCTGTCATCACCCATGGTATAATTTGCACCTAAAGTGTAATCCATAATCTGGCTCAAAATTAGGTAGTTTTAAACTTATGTAAAATAACCAAATGGTTATAACCTCTAAAATAAATTGATTTTTTGTCAAACTACTAGAAAACTTCAAAATATTACCAGTCGGATCTCCACTCGATTAGGCCTTTCTATCGTTAATTTGAAATACCATTCTCCAGCTGATCCAAACTCTCGAGAACAATCTTGCAATAATTCTGTCACAGCTCCAATCTTTGCAAAAATCATGTACACGTAACCAGCAGTTCTTAGAGTTAATCGTCCGCGGTTTACATGGACATTACGCAATTCCTTATTGGGCCATTCAACATAGCATGAGCCATACTTCGAAAAAGACTGCAAATGGAAATTATCTAGAGTAAGAAAATAACATGCCTGATAATGTAAATTAATAAATTAACACGCAATACAATGCACGAATTGTTTTCAGAAACTTCCTATGATTTTAAGCTTGCATTGGTTGCAGTGCTGTCAATTTTGAAATTACTTAATCAAAAAATGATTTATACGACGGTTCAAACATCTAATATGATATAAGACTTTTATCACGCTGTACGAAAAGTTTGTTTGTTACATGAATTGTGAAACACTCACAGCATAAAGTGAAGAGGCTGTAATATCCCATGGAACGCCGCCAACGAAAATTTTGTTAGAGAAAACAGGATTTAAATAGTCACGAGGCGGTAATTCACCTTTCCAATAGCATGTCTTCTCTCCACTAGATACTTCTTGTGATATAAGTGCTGCTTTCATCTAAATGTGAAAAAATTATTTATCGTAAAAAAAAACAATGCAAGCATTGTTCCTCCAGTGTCCATAGTTGGCTAAAGTTTAAGCGCAATCAAACAAGGCATGAAGAAAAGTGCATGAAAGTCTCTACCTGAGGACAAGATAAGAAATATCCCTTATGTGGTATATGAGCTTCCAATTCGTGATATTGTTTGAATTTTCCGGGTTGGTAAGTAACTGCTTGATACTCACTGGTTGGACGACTGATCACAATTGAATTGCAATGCTAAAAAGTTAAAGCGACAACAAACTGATTAGAATCACCGATCACTGATCATGAAAACAAACAATGTTTAGAAATCTGAAAAAAATAAAAATAATAATAAATAGTCCTCAAAAGAATTAAGAACATAAAAATAATAAAAAAATAAAAAAAAATAAAAAAAATAGAGTCTTGATAAGTAAACCTTTTTTTAATAATAAAAATAAACATTTTATGAAAAAAAAAGAGTCTTATTCAAATTTGAGTAATCAAATAGAGTCTTATGAATAAGACTCTATTTTTATAAAAGGTTTTATCCCATACTGGTTTTCTGATGACACTGCATACCAACTGATTACTCAAATTTCCAAATGGATGCGTTGCATTGTATCCAGAGTTCAGTTTTACTGTGGTGACATTAGTTGTAGTAATAGTAATCGTGGTATCTGTATTAGTAAGAGAATTTGCGGGCGTTAAACTAATATTAATATTTTCTTTCGCATCTTGCCTATCATTTCCGATGGATACTATGAAGGATTCTCCCTCATTTTCATCTGCAAACAAAATCTTACTTTGTCAAGATTTTGTTAATGTGGTTTTGTCAAGTGCGCCAAAATCACATTATTCCAGAGATGCAGAAGCACTGTGAAATAAAAACCCTTTCTCGGTGTGTTTTTATTTTCTTACGGTGTGTTTTTATTTTCTTACGGTGTGTTTTTATTTTCTTATTACCTTCCTGATTTTACAAAATGAGCTTTCAGAAACTGTAATAAACTGACAATGAGCATTTTATAATTTACAAGCAATGCAGGAAAATTATAGCTCTCCTATTTGCTAATTCGACTCTCAAAGTTCGCTTTTATTGTATGAATCGAAATTAATCTTTATACCAGTTGTCGAAGTAGACATTTTTGTCAGCGCCGTTGCCCTTGAAATCTGCTTTGGAAGACAATCAGTTGTTCCCATCATATTCATAGCTGCAAATGAATTTGAAAAGCAGAAGAATTATGAGTGAGCTAAAGTGGGGAGTGGTCATACAGATAGTCATCACAAGGCGCAACTTCGTTTCATCAAATAGTTTGGATGATTAACAGTGCTTTAAAACGTCAAAATTTTAAAGCTGTCTTTGACAAATGCAGACATTGCAATAATTACTGTAATTTTTACATATAACAGCAGCAAGATGGGGAATCAAAGTGGAATAGAAAAGTCAAAAATGCTAATTCAATTTATGCCATATTCAAATGTGGTACAAGCTTGACTGGGATCTGTGGAATTATTTTGATGTATTGTTTTAATTTCTGCACGCATTTCATAAAACGAACACATAAACTTTATAGCGATTAAATTGGCTCTGTTTTCAGATTATTGCTCTGTGCATGAAAGTTACAGTATGATTTGCTATCTATCAATGAGTTTCCACACAAAATTTAACAAAACAAAGCACAGATCAAAATTAGTGTTAAACAAAAAGAGCAAAGCAGCCAAGAATGATTTGGATGAAAAAAACTGATATCAAGCAAGCTTTTATCTAGTAATAAACGCTTGCTCATTAAAGTAACAGCTAACATTTCCAGAACAGATTCAGGGCATTTTTTGAAAAGTAAATGAATCTGCAGGACACATCAGAAACGGTTAATGTTTTTATTTGCAGAAAAGTCAGAATAATCCTTGAGGGAATATGGCAAGATTTCATCTGTCTAGCTGTTGTACAGAGGAAGCACAAACTCACAATACTGAGAGTTTTGTAAATGATATTTTTGAGGTCATAATCGACTTCGTGCTTTCTGCCTTACTCTCAGTCACACTTTAAGCAATTAGCGAGAAGTTGATAACAAACACTACGAAAAGATAAACTGCAGCTCATGAGAAACAATTGACATCTGGCAAGTGAGAAGTAGACGTAACAGTACACAGCAGCTAACACAGATGGATGCATATGTCGCAGTTAGTACTGAGGAAGGCGATGAGTGTCGTCGTTAACTCATACTACCTAGAGTGCAAATGTATCGTTTGTCACGTAGACACATCCATTTCAAATCAAATTGAACCGCCATTTTTTCGACCCAGACAACAACACTCACGTACATACTCCACCTTACCAGTGCAGCGTGTCCACACTTAAACTCCATGAATTCCTTTAATTTGTCCTTAGATTTATTGAATATCGATCAATCGCATCTGTACAAATGTTTCACGTGTGTAATGCAAATAATATATTTTATTCCATGCAAACAGCAAAAAGTACTACATTGGCGAAGGCATTATTGTGATGTCAGACACACATATGCATGTACGAATAATTATTGAGTAATTTGTAAACTCTTCAGTACAACAACTTCTAGATACAGCTTATATGAAAATAAATGACGCTAAGAATTAGAGGTCAGGACCTATATGTTAAAGTGATCAGAAAAAATACGCTTTTAGACAGTAACCAAGATGTTAATTTGACATATTATTTATCGGTATTTCTCAATAAGCAACAACGTTTTACAGATAACAACTATATAAAAAAATATCTTGCTTATATTTTTAGAGTTGTCATAATCCAAATTTGCTTCCCAAATCAAAAATTTCCACCTAAGCAATATGAAATAATCGTTAGTATCACATCGGTAGTCAACAGATTTTGTGTTCAAGTGCGCGCAATCAAATTGCGATATGAGCTTTGCTGAAATCCACTGGCTGCGAGCTGAGGCATCGATCGGCCAGCGTTCTGCATTATCATATTAATTGAATTCAGTTCCTGACAACGAAATTATCACAAAGAGAGAAGTGTTCGTCACAATTTTCTTTATCAGCACTTGTTTCAACAACTGCTATTGCTATTTAAGAATATTAACAAGTACTTAATCCAAATAGCAATTTTAAAAAGCGAGATTCAGCAACTACTGCTACTAAATGAAGAGCACAAATAAACTGAAAGATATGCATAACTATGAATTATGAGGCTTATTCTGTTTTCTGAGAGCAATGCTTTCGATATACATGAAACAATAGTTTCCAAAATTGAACCGCGCTATCTTTTGCTATCTGATGTAAGTTTTCTAGTTTCCTGAACAATGCAGCACATTTATTTTTCATTTCTTCAACAATTTAGTTTGATTACAAGCGTTAAAAGCTGAATTTTTTAGAGAACTGTTCTATTGGAGTCAATTTTACGATCTTGAAATTTCAAATTACTAGATAAATAGTGGTCTACTACAGTGTATCTGGCACTCTTAAAGACTGTTAAAACTGACAGAAATAAAACCCACCTTAATGGGCGTTTTGTCAAAAATATATCTGTATGGTCGTGACGGTGATGATGGCAATGAAGAAGGCATTGGTGTTACGGTAACGCGATCAGATACACATCTCTGTGGCGATAAGCGATTACACTGAACTGACGGAATTGATAACAACGAGATGCCACTCTGAAAAACTAGCAAGTTATTAAAAAATTATAAATTTTGCTTTTTGGAATCGATACTTGAAACTTCTGCATAAATTACTAAAGATGTCAATAGAATAACTTGGAAATTAACTGTAAAACAGATAACAAATACCAAGAACAAATACTATGATTTGTCGAGAAATTTGAACTCAAAAAACACAGTTTTACAATAAACTCGATGAATTATATCCCTCATTAGATGCACTAATAATTTTCATAAATTAAGAGTATGTAACCTCGCTGACTCCAACTTGCAGTTTTTTTACGAATGACTCCATTCGAGTGATGAAAATACTATTGTAATATTTTATCAAATCGATGTATTCGACTTGTCGCTGTTCTGGTATAGCTTCACCAATTGCAGCAGCCGTATCCGACTCTCTAGACTGGGAACGGACTACTTCACTTGAACCAGAACCAGCAGAATCATGAGAAGCATTATCATCCAAAATAATTGAGGATGGTCTAAATTTTCTATCAAAGTTATTTAAAAACTAAATGAGTGAAGAAAATTTTATCTTATTTTTTAACATGCTTTGACGTATCAAAAAGAAAAAAAAATGATAAAGATATACTGCTGAAGACTTACAAATCATTTTCAACTTGAACTCGTCGATACACACGTGAACTGGCTTGAGGTTGATGACGATAATGATACATTATGTCGTGGAATGAAATATTTTGTTGGCCTATTTTCGCGACCACATACAAGCAACACATCAAATTTTGATCTAAATGTCTTCCCCTCATAAGCCAAGTTTCTGTCCTTATGATGTGTTCAAATAATGTCCAAGCTCGCTGACGACTTTTTTCATCTAAACGTACTCGTTCACAAAGATCACGGAGTCGAACCGCAGCCAAATAGTACACCTGAACAAGATAATTTTCCTGAATCAGAACAAAATGAATGAAATTAATACTCACTGAGTATTAATTTTGAATAAATCTAAAACTTTTAAAATCCAATTTTTGTTTAAAAACATAAATGCTTTCAGTGTTTCTATTTGGCAGGTGCTTCCACTTTGCAATGAATAATAAAAAAAGTATACTTTACGAAAAAATAACAGTGTCGCAGATGCTGAAGTTGAATGCTCTGCATCTGGGACTCGTCGTTTAGGCGGAATACATGTAGAATCATCATCAAATTCAAGTCGACGCTTTGCTGCTATAAGAATGAAAATATTTGGAAACGAAAAAAAAAATTGAAAAAAAAAGACATAGTGAACGGCTTACACATTGGTTTCGTAGGTGACAATGTATAACGCTGAGAAAGAGTTGGTTGCCTGGCAGAATATCCCTCAACAGTCTCCAAAGACACAGCTTGACTTGATGGTATCTTATCTATTCGCCGATGTAAACTAAACCACAGCGGTGAATCTATACTCCACGCAAGTTCCTCCAGTACTCGTTCCTCAATCTAAAACTCAGAAATCAAAAGTAGAAAATAAATATTCTCATTTATTTGTACTAATTAACTTATCACATATAAAATGAATCCCTACCAAAAATACAATTTTAAAAATTTAAAATAAAGTAAAGTATAACCCAATGATAAACCACAAACAGGAAACGTATAATATTTTGTACTGTTTCTAAAATAAATTCCTACAAAATTGTATTTTTCAGAACACAAAAATACTGAAATGCTTTATATTAGGACTCAAAAAATATGTAAATTAAACTCTGACTTAATATCACTGATACTGTGTAAAAAATAAACCTTATTCAGATGTTTGACCATTTCACGAGATAAGCAACAGTCAGCTCGAATAACAAGCTCGATTACTTTGTAAAAATGTATAGCTGATAGTTGCATAACTTCTAAACTCCAAGGAAACTCTCGAGCACTTTCATATGTGAATAGAACCAATTGCAAAGAGCAAACATAGAGAGCTTTCAAAAAGTCTTCTCTAAGCAGTACTGCCTACAGTAAAAAATAATGATTTCAGAAAATAATATTTGTAATCAAACTTACATATTTATTTATTGCAACTGATACATCAAAGACGGATAATTTTTTAGCCATCACTTTTAAATTATTAAAAAAACGACGGAATTATGAAAGTTTACTGATTTTAATCACTGATGAACCTACATGATATTAAAAACATCAGTTTAACTTGAAGAAAAAAGTAACTCACGCTCAATTTTTCAACATTTGAATTTCCTAAACGATCCCTTTCAGAGACAGTAATTTTGTGCAAAAAACGAAAAAATATGCTTTCTGTATTATTTCTTCGAGCATGTAACATTTCGTAAAATGTCGTATCGTACTCAATTCCATTTAATTGCCGTTCATATTCTACCACCTTTTCCAGGCGATCATTTAACTGCAACGCTGAAATATTCAACGCTCATAATTTTTCTTTCATCAAAACTGCGGCAAAACTTATATTTCTTGTTTTATACTTTTTTCATTATTATCTCTAATTCTTGACTGTTGTAATATTCTTTTCTCACAAGATTAAACAGTCAATAAAACCCTTAAAATTAATTAATAGCGAAGTTCCACTCACCTATATCCATAACTTTTGTTAGTGGATCTTCACAACTATGACATAAAATGTTTTCTACTTCAATATCCAATTTTTTCCAATTTTCTTGAAGTAAAGCTTCTAACTTCGATGCATTATACAATGATGCGGCAACTGGTGTAACAGGGCAATACTGAATAAATTGCTCACGTATGAGAATTGTATCAAAACATTTGTGAACTGACAAACAAAAAGTGATAATAACTGTGAAGAACTATAAGCAAAAATACTCAAAGAACTTAATTCGTTGAATTATTCAGCAAAGCTAACAACTTTGACCCCAAAGATCTTTTAGATTCTCAAGAATCATGAACCTGTTCAGCGGAGATGACATATCCTCGACCACTCAATGGTGTTCGCTGCTGCCTTTGGTCTTGTAAGCGTTCCAAACAACTCTGAGTACTTAAACGCAACAACATATGAGCATCAACAAGACTATCATCATCATCAGAACGCTGAAGTCGTTGGACCGCGCACACTGCAATAGCTCTTTTATTACATAGAGACGAATAAATTTTCAAAATCATTCAAGTCATGGGAGACAAACAGCTATTTCATGCTATTAAATGCTATTAGAAACAGAATTAAAGAATGAAACAAAAAAAAAGAGATTACACGGTTAACTCACAAAAAATTAAAAGATTCGGAAATATTCCTCAATCATCATAATTAAAAAAGAACAAAGCCCAAAACAGTTAGCAGAAAATCCAGCTCAAATCTAGTTACTTTTCAGCATAAAGTCTGACCAAAAAAGTTATTGTGATGATCAGAAATTATAAGCATTCTTTAAAATAAAAATTACTTTAAGCTATTTCTTGTTCGAAAAATAATATGTGTTCTTGTGAGTTTAAAATTTGTTTTACATGGGTTTCAGTAAAAAAATCATTTATACCATCATATGCTTCATCGAATACGATAGATATATCTTCAGGTAAAAACATTCTTTCATCCATATCTCCTCTATCAATTATCAGTTCGTCATATATAACATCTAATTTTTTTCTGCAAATTAAAAGAAGAAACTGGATGCATCAATAGAAAAAAAACAATGTATTATTTCAGTAAAAATAAAAACGCTGCGGAGTTTTATTAATGTTTTTCCTCTCAAGAGTTCTTTTTCTAATATTTGTAACTTTTAGCAAAGATGAAGGTGCGAATGATTTTCAGCCTATTTTTTGCGAAGCAGAAATCAAATGACGATTTATTGCGCTATGTTATGAATATTCATGAAGCATTGTGAAAACTTCCAGACGTAAAAGACCCATTATTTAGAGTCTTTCCATTTCTAAGCTGTGATTTAATCCTTTAGCAGAAAAAATTAATTAGTACTTGTTGATAATTCCATTTGTGACAAAAGTAGTCAAATTTTCGCCAGCTTCGATTATTTTATCTTCCGACATTTTACGAAGTTTTGGAAGCCAACAGTGAGTTCGAAAATGCTTAGCATCCAATACAACGCCCTCGAAAATTTGACATAATGTTTCGAGAATAGAGTCTTGACCCGGCTGCATCTCGATAGCATTCACTACAATAGGCAGAAGAATAAATATTTTGTTACTTCTTGTAACACTTATTAAGTAATCTGTTAAATATCAAGTCTTATCTTGAAATAAACTTGATTTAATGCAATTGTAACAGATGAAACTGAACAAACCAACTCACCGAAATCACCATCTAATAAACAACATAACTTGGATCGACGAAGATTTTGGAAAATAAAATCCACCGTGCAAAGTAAAAGATGGAAACTATTCATCAGATCATTGTTGTTGTACTGCTCTAAAGATTATTTACCAAGGCATTAAATTTAAAAAAAATTACTTTACGAGGCACAGAAAATTTTTATGGATATTGCAATCAATCAAAACTGAACTCGCAAACAGGTAAACAATTGAAGAATCCTGACCAAGTTGAAATGCTGTTTCGGGCATTGAGCTTTTGCAAGGCTTTTAAAAATGAAAGTGAAATAAGCTGAAAGATCTCAATGGTGTGATATGTACCAAAACTCTTAATAAATTAATGAGCCATGCTCTCAAGTTTTGTAATTCATACGTTTCCACAAAACAAAGCTATATCTGTTTTGTGGAAACTAATCTCCACATTATATATATGTTTTTCATCGACAAAAATCCGTTCTATGAGGGATTTTTGGAACTTCAACAAGTTTATCTTCTTTTCTATGCTTGCTTTCCACCTCGATGGCTTCTTTTCTCACTCGTCATGCCTTCATAACATTATTGTGCTGCCTTGCAATATCAGTCATTGACTTGTAGGGATTCTATGTAGCATATTCACCCGCCACTTCGTTTACTTCTCCAGGTATGAGTGGGTCCAAGCTCATGTGTTGTTTTCCGCGTTCATTTTGTTTGGTTTATCTCACGTCCCTGTGCCTGCTGCATCAGCACTAGACATTTTACATTTACATCTAGATAAACCTTAGATTCATGTAGCGTATTTTCCTCGAAGTGCGTATTTTGTAAATTGACACGTCTCGTAGACTCCTTCAAAAACCATTTCTGTGAGCACAGACGACCTGCAATACTGGTGATCACAGAATTCGCTTGCTTCTTCAGTTCTCTGAGGGTAATACCACACGAAAACTTCTCGCTATACAAAGAATGACACAATGGCCATCACCCTCTCGGTATTCTTCGAAATCGGTCAAGGACCACTTTCAGCACCTTTCCTGGCCACTTGGTTCGTGGGTTTCAATTCCGACGATTGCTTCAAGCGTGATCATTCTGCTGGCACCGGATTCCGGTACACTGCTAATATGCTCTTTTACACCCGTCACATAATTTTTCCCAACCGCATCAGTTTTTGTACTGTTTTCATTTATGGTTCCAGATGCAAACTTTTTCCTTTTAGCCTCCATTTTATGATCATTGACCGCAGCCGCTCAGAGTCAACCTCGAAGCAAACCGCTCAACACCAAGCCGAGAAGTTGGTATATATATATATATATTCTCGGCCTTGGCGAGGTGTTTAGCGGTTGGCTTCTATTTAAGCAAAAAATATAATTCTGCTTGAAACTACTCAAGTCCTGCATACATCAAGGAATTATTTAAAAAAAATTTTTTCAAGATATTAAAAAATTTAAAGATAAAAGATACTTCGCATAACGATGAACAACGTCCATAATAAGTGAAACAGTTTCTTGCAAGTTAAAGTTTTTACGTCATCATCACCCGGTAGCGGTGGCGCAAATACCTTACGATAAATTGGTAATAATTTTTTATAAACAACAGCAGTAACTGCAAGAGAAGACTGGACACGATTAATGTGCTCTTTCAAACGTCGAGGGCCACTGACCATTTCCACCCATTTCGTTACTTTTTCGAAGAATTCAAGTACACTACAAATAACTCGATATTATTATAAATATGAAGTGATAATCAAGTTACATAATGTGCTGACCAATTTATCGTCAATCACTTTGATTTCCAAATTTTATTGACTACAAATCTACCGCTGAATTCAGATATACATATGAAAGACTAAATCACTAGTGACACACTGAAAAATAATAATAACACCAGAAACCCGATGTTGTGCATATTAAATGCTGCATTATTAATTTTACCATAAAGAAACCTGATTTTGCCCATTTTAAGTAATCGAAATAATGAGTACTTTCGCACTGCCGAGCGCTCAACTAGATTACCTTGCCACATTGACAAATAAATTGCACAACAATACCAGGCTGATTGTTTTCCCTGAAAAGAAATGGAAATTAAGATTTGAGCAAGGATAATTCACTAGTTTAGTTTTATCTGAAATGGAACTTAAAAAGACTTATAATAACGTGCAACTATAATAAAACTTGAAATGTTTATGCTTTATCATCAAAAAATTTCCGATAAAAATAACTAATCAGTAACCTCTAAACAATATTGCTTGGCAACGACTTCAAACTGTTCCCATGTTTTCTCAATAAAATTTTTATCCATTTCATGATCTAGCCTTTTACAAATGTCTGTGAAAGCCACTGTCGGATTAGAAAGACTTGAATGAGTCAAATCAGCAGTTCCTTGCTCTTCTATTCCTGACTTCAAGCTGGATGCTCCATTTTTCTTATCCACTTCATCAGCCATTCTTTGATACTAGAATAATCAGATATTCCACACTTTTTTTAAACAAGCTATTGAGATAATTCTAAAATAAAAAGGCACAGTATTATGAACTAAATCATGACTTATTATACATGAGAGTTACTCCTAAATTGACAAAATACCAGAATAAATGCAAAAAAAACTGGCCTAAACAATTGATTCAATACTTGAGAAAACAAATTCCCTTAGCATGAGGGATTCTGCTATGAGTTGAGCTCAAGAAACAGTATTAATCTATGTGCTCTAAAATTTCGTTTATTTGTTAAATTAGTACAAAGTGCACATAATGCAAAGCTCCTATCTCAGATAAAAGTTATGTATTCCAACAAATCCGTTTCAGTTGGCCTCAAAAAAAGACTTTATCCTCGGGCTAAATTCACAACACTGTTAATATCGCAATTCTCCAATCGATCTCAACTGTTGCATGAAAATGTTTCCCAACAAGCGCAATATTTCCAACGTTTTCTCCATAGGTTAAGAGGTGAGCATAAACTGATGGCGAATTTGAACTACGAATAATTGTATTCCCTCAACTGGCTAAAAGACGATATGCGATAAAACTGCACTAATGTTTCAGGCTGTATATTGTATACATTTTAGACTTCTGCTTGCAGTAACGAAATTGTAAATGTAACAAATTATGCGTATTCATCCGTACTTTATTGGGAGGCTATTGAAGAAGAAACGTTGAGAGTAATAAAGAACGAGGTTAATCACATAAGGGAAGAAAGTAGACAGGAAATAAAGAGAGTGCAAAGATTCATAAAGAGAGTGATGTAGCATGGCATTTATAGATTAAGAAGGTGTAATGGAGTTGATCACTGCCGTCAAAGTAAGGAGTGGAAGTGAGAAAACTGTAAGCAAGTAAAGGTCGGGTTCGGGATGTGAATTATGAATTGCGTGCTCGGATTTAGTACGTGGCTTTCCTAGATAAACTTGTGGTTCTCTGAAAGTATTTAAGTAAATGATGAAAAGTGTTGTATACTGAGCTTAAAGCTCATTCATCCTTAGACATAACTGAGACTTTTCTATACCATTTCAACTTGGAAGTATTAATTATGAAGCATTATTATTTTGTCACCGTATACTGCTTCCTTATACCAGTATTATCATAAATAGTTTCGTTAAAACTCGGATACTCACAAGTAGTTGTGCTTTTTCCACCACTTATGATCGTGCTCTGCGTCGTTTTAATCGTCGCTCATAGATTATAACAGGCATTCTTATTCATCAAGCCCACGTGACTTAACATTTTGTACTGCAAGGGTATGTTGCGACCTGTCATTTTTTACTCGCAATGGAGTTCAGTACTTTAACCACGTCTTCACTATTTTGAAAAATTCTTAATTCTTCAAGACACACAACATCTGCATGAATAGTATGCATAATTGCATAATGACAGAAAAAAAGAGATTTCATAGATTGTTGTGTGCTTGAATTCGAAGGTAAGTTATGGACGAATATGTGAATTGAAGAAATGACGATAGTGAATTTTCGATGCTCTATTTTTTGTTGTATAATTTCATTTTGTTCCTTTTCGAGGCTGTCGTCACGTGGGTAGCTACGCCACTATCTCTTGTATCGATGGTTAACTGTTATTGTTGACTACATTCCGTATCATCTTTAATGATCGAAGTATGAGATAGGATCAACCATGATAGCTCAAGACTTCCTAAAAAAAGATGATCGTGGCTTTACACCGACTTCCTCATCAAAGTAAGTTCACTTAATCTCATGATTGGGAAAACACGTGAATTTTGTATATAGTGTAGATTTTTCTGGCTTTTAAGTATAATTATTCGTTTAAAAGGCAGAGACTTATTTTAGAAAAGTAAAGATGAAATTTGGAAAGAAGGTTGCATTTCTCAAAAAGTTCTATTACTATATTTGTCTTTCGGTCATCATTAAATGACTTGGATATTTACAGAAATAATCTAGAATAGCATTAATCATATCTCTCTTTTTTTGGCAAATTAAATATTGTACTTTTTTGTTGCTTTATGTGCAAATATTACTGTCTAGAAAATTTGTCTCTACACATATAAAAGGATTAAGAAATTTTGAATTTTTTCTTATCTATTTCCATTAACAGTAGATTCACAGAAGTAGGTTAAGGTAAAAAAAATAGTAGGACTCTATTATTGGTTGAAATAAGGAATCGCTAAGAATGTAGGTTGTTTTTGATACTTATGTATTTGCTCATATATTTACTATACATTTTTTAGATCAGCATTTTATTTTGGTCTGTTGATAATTGCTAAATTTCTTCGTTGCTCTGGAGTGTTTATTATCGATGTATTGGCTAAACAAATCCATGTCGTTAGCTTGCTGTGGCTATTTAAATTAGTGTAAATTTATTTTCATTATTTGAATCAAGAGCATTTCTTCGTATTGTTGGTAGTCGCTTTTTTTTCAGCTGTATGTCTTGTAACTTTAAGAATCTTTTTAATATTTGCATTTTATATTTTAGCTTTTATGTTTTTCTTCAGGGCTTAAAAGTACTGCTTTTAGCGCTTTAAATTCTCAGAAATTAAATATCGTTCAAAACTGAGTAAATCATTTGTCATTTCTTTCATTTTAATAAAACCGATTGTTTCAGTGCTTCATGTGTTCTTGTGCCATTCCAAAAGCCATTCAGTCATGGAAAGTCACTGAAAAAGACTGTACTAAGTTTATATTTATGACATAAGTTTAATTTTATGACATTTGATATCCTTAAGTTTCAAACTATTCATCTTTTTCCGGTAATTCGAGACTTATTCATTTTTATTGAAATTACAGATTGTTAGGATAGCGCAGCTATCGATATGCAATTGCTTGATAGAAGTGATATGGTTTTATGGTATAACATTTTGTGGACCACTGAGGTAAAATCTTTGAATTCAAAGACCTCAGTGGTCGTGAACAAGAACATTTTTACTCAAATTTTTTCTGAATGCCATAAAAATTATAATAATCTCTTTCGTAACGATCTTTTTTTTGATTTTAAAATCTATTATTTGGTTAATAAACATCCTGGTTTAAATCTCTTTTCTAAAAATATAAGTATTTTAATTTAATAATTGAAGTTTTTGTTCTTATTAAACCATGAATTCAGATTATTCTAACGCATTTTTCGTAATTTTGTTGCAAATGACGATTCTCTCTAGTTTCCAAAATAGAAATATAATTAAAATTGGAACACTAAGCATTTTGATATGTTTAATTTAAACAATTTTTAGATCTATATTAGTATTTGAGCAAAGCTCATCAGTCATTATCGTTGCGTTGTTAACATTATGGAAAGGAAGTGGGTCACCATCCAAAACTCGTGGAGTTATTGCTTTAGGACTGGGTTATCTTTCTTTAATTTTGGTGGATAGCGATGCTACTGTCGAAACAGATCATAGTGTGTTTTGTGTTTTATTTACTCATACCGAATTTAAATTTAAAATGCAAAATCAGTAAAAAGTGTTAAACGCACTGTTAAGATGTAGATCATATTTGTTTTCAGACGTAGCTTTGAAATTGGTTTACTTATTTCAGAGACATCGCATGGCCACCAGAGTGTTTTGAATCATCTATTCTATCATTTCATCCATAATTCAGGAGTTTCTGATCACAAGGTATCTTTCATTAGTGAATTTTTGACTTACATTATTTTTTTGATTTCAACAAAAAATTACAGTCAATTTCCAGCATTTCATTTTCAGTACACTTGCCAAAGGTGTGCAAATTTACAAAATTTTTACTGGCTTCAGCCACGTTCCCATTTCTACAAATTTTATTGATATTGGTTCATTATTTCTGTTCATTAACAATTTTTAAATGTATCCATTATCAAGTTCCAAGTTAAAAAGTTAATTTTTCATAGTCTTGATTTAAATCTTTGAAGGGAGGTATTCTTTTGCTGTTATTTGCGATTTTTATAAAAATGGCTTATGATTCGTCTTTTCGCCACTTAGCAGTTGAAATCGGAGGCCCAAAAAGACTTTACTCGTTAATAACACTTTTCTCGGCGATATTTTTGGCACCAGTCGCAATTCTTGCTTTCGTTATGGGAAAGGTTAATATTTATTGTAAAGTACGAAACCTTTTCACACATGAATTTTGTTAAAATAAGCATAACGTTTGAACCAAATCACTTTAGCTTGCTTCTTAAACCGTTAAGTAAGTGATAAAAAAGTTTAAAAAAGTCATTATACTTATGCTGTGCTAATAAACATCTTAAACTATAATTGCAATGTGATGGAACAAAAGAGTTTTACTAAGCTCTCAAATTCTTCATCTTAGGAGCTCTTTGTTATTATAAGAACGTTGCTATTTTCTGAAAATTGCAGACATATGCCTTTAATTTTGTTGATTTTATACTCTTATTATCAGCGGGATCACTGTTTGTAATGGTTTTTGATTTCTACACGGAGTCATTTTGTTTTCAGGTATTTCTTTACTTTAAAAAGTTGAGTTATTTGGTAATCGTTTTCATTGTTTTAAAAATCTTCTACTTAATTAAATTTATGAATTATTAATATCTAGTGAAAAAAAATTGCTGATTAACTGCGTTAGATAAAATTAGATCAGGTTATATTCTTGTTTTCCTAGTTTTATGTTTTTATCATGTTATGCGTGAATGATCTCTAACTACATAGCATGTGGCTGATCCAGTGTTATCATCAGCGCGTTGGAGTCCGATGATAATGTTTGTTTGTGCCTTTGTATTTGCTTCAGCATGGTATACTGATGATGATATACCTAACTCTCATGTCATATCCGGTGGAGTCTTATTGACATTAATTTGTTTCGTTATTGGTATGTATTATTATTTAAATGTTACGACTAAGATGGTTGCCACAAAAAATTTACTTATGCTTGCTGGCAAATGAATAAAAATTTGGCGATATTAAGGACGCTTATAACACATTTCCTACCTTTAGTTTTAATGAAATTGTAATTGTTGTTTACATATTTTAATTTGCATGATTCCAGTTCTTCTCCCGTTATTAGATGGAGCACGCTATTAAAAGTGTCTTTTATACTTTCTTGATTCAGTATCTTATTAACTGCGGCATAAAATCAGGGATAGGATTAGCTGAAAAGTGTTATACGTTTCTTTTTTTATTTTTTTGCATTTTTAAAAACTAATTTTTTCATGTTTTATAGTCGTACATATCAAAAACTGTTACTTCGGTAATCTTTAAAATCAACGAATTTATTGTAGCTTGTTTTACATTGACATCGTCAACGAATCCGCGTTCAAGGGGGGGGTATTACGTTGGCTTATCAGATAGTGGAGTACCGCTATATACGTATGGAGAAGCATTCTTGCAGAAAACATCAAGGTTTATGTTGCTATTGGCGTGAATCGCATTTTGATCTCAAAATCTAAAAAACTGAAGATATGATGTTAATATGGATGCTAGCATTCATTAGCATTTTGATATCATATCTTCAAATTATAAGTGGGAAATACATTTCATATAATTAAACTACTTTTTTATTATATGAAATGTATTTCCCACTTTTTAGTTTTCAAGAATTCGATTTTTTTCACTATTTTTATTGCTGTTACGCATTTATCTCTTTGAAAGACATGTCTTGAATATTTTTTTACTGTGTTTAAAAAAAAACTTGTATAGCTACTTTTAGATCTGTAATGTTGTTGATCAAAGATACTCTGGCAGAAATTTTAGCTAGTACGGATTCGCGTAGAATTTTTTGGTTCCTCTGTGCCAATTTGGTAGTTTTTATTCATTTACTCATTTTTTTATCGCTCGATTTTCGTGCACTGTCATCTGAATTTGGAGAGTATTGAGTGTGCTGCATAATATCATAATAAGAATTTTTTGTAGTCATTTTGTGGCATTGAATTCTTGTATGGATTTTGGACAAATAGCCTTGGATTAATATCAGATGGATTTCATATGCTTTTTGATTGTTCTGCGCTTGTAAGTCGCACAATCAGTGAAATGAATTTTTTTATTTTATCAAAATGCACTACACAATTCACTTGTATTGTATGTAAAATTTTTTTGTGTAAATATTTTACATTAACTTGTCTGAAAAAATTATTTGTGCTTTTCATTCATCTTGTCTCTTTCTTTTGTTAGTGATTTTTAGGTAATGGGCCTTGTTGCTTCTGTAATGTCGCGTTGGCCATCTTGCAAAAATTATTCTTATGGATATGGGCGAGTCGAGGTTTTATCTGGTAGTGTAATTTCTCATCCATTTTCATCTTTTAATGATCTCACTTCATTCATTCATTTTGTTTTACAGGATTTATAAATGCATTATTTCTCATCGTGATTGCGTTTTTCATATTTCTGGAAGCTCTGCAGCGCTTGTTTGATCCTCCAGAAATTAGTACTGATAAACTGATGGTGAGAGCTGTTAGTTCAATCTTTCCAAGTTTTTTAAGGCATATCTCAAGAATGATTGTAGGCGTCGTCGAGATTTTGATGCCTTTTATTTTTCTAATCATTAACTTTAGTTAAAACAAATTTGAATTATCTAATTAATAGTTTTTTCGTGTTTAATCCTTTCAAGTGACCTTGAAAAAATACCTTCTTATCATATCATCAAGTACTGAATTCTTGGAATTTGATGTCGTGAAAAAAAAAGAATAACGATCAATTATTACAATGGACTGAGTATTGTTGTCTTTCAGGGGCATTGTATATGTCAAATATGAAATTGCTAGTGAAAGAAGTAAAAATTATGTAATACAGCCTTGAATTCTAATAAATTTGCTGAGAAATTTAATTTAGATAGTGGCATTTGCTGGTCTTATAGTGAATATTTTTGGTATGTTTGCATTTCATGGTGCAACTCATGGGCATTCTCATGAAGGAGGTGAAGGAAAACACATACATGGCGATGCTCATTTCCATATGCATGCACATGGTCATAGCCATGACAGTGCCAATGCTAATATGCAAGGTTTGCAATTTTTATGCTCTTGAAACGAATTTCATAATAAAAAGGAGTGAATCAAAAAGATGCGCCTAAGCGAGATCAAACTCTTGAATTTTATAAGCAGTCCCGTCATTTTTGTAATTTAGAAGGCACAAATTCAATATAATCACATGAAAAAATTGACGCTTACGGAACTAAAATAGCATTATTATTGATTTGTTAAAAACATGCACTTGCTACTTTTCCTTGACTAGAATTGCTACTAAAATACATCTGTTATTAAATATTTATAACACACGAAGCGGTATTTTTTATTTGCAGGCGTTTTTCTTCATGTTCTTGCTGATACCTTAGGTTCCGTGTTCGTAATAATTAGTACTCTCATGATTCAATATTTCGGTTGGACTTGGGTTGATCCATTATGTTCTTTAATTTTATCAGTACTTATTGTTGGTTCAGTAACACCACTGTTGAAGCAATCGATGGCAACGTTGATGCAGAATATACCACCAGAAACAGAACAAGAGTTTGAGCATCTTCTTCATGAGGTCTTTTCTTACTTTTTATTTTTTAAACGTAAAATTTCATTTAAAAAAAATTCAAAATTCGAATTTCTTATAAATAGAAAGCATTGAAATCTCAAATTGGTCAATTTGTTTACAGAAAGTAATGAAATGCATAATTTGCACCTGTATGGTAAAGAATGTTTGGATATAAAAAAGCGTATAAGAAGTATTAACATTTTTCAAATGCTCCAAATTAGTATTTAATGTTTTGGATTTTTGTATAAGGCATATAAATATGAGTCTAATCAAGTATTTTTCTGTTTCTAGATTACGAACATAGAAGGTGTTTTATCGTATTCGAATGTTCACCTTTGGCAACTCAAGTCTCTTCTCAATGTTGCATCTTTACATGTTCAGATAAGTAATGATGTGAATGATCAAGTTGTGCGTTTGAAAGTGTTAAAACTTTTGAAATCAATTAATATAACTCAAGCATCTATTCAGGTGAAGTGTTTACGAATGCAAGTATACGTTTTTTGAATCTTAGTTACTGGTCAGAAATGATTAAACAAGATTCTGTTATCGATGTCATATGTTATACTCGATTTCGTTTTCGGCCGTAAAAAAAGTGGCTGAAAATCGATTATCATCCGCAAAATGATCTTTCCTGAAACGTTTCCAGTTTTTCCGCATTTCAGTGTCTGAGTTTTTATATTTTTAACTTTATTTCAGGTCGAGAAGGAAAATTTCTTCCATCGAATACATAGTCTTTGTCCTTCATATAAAATTCCTCATCGTATAACAAAAGGTATTTTTTTGGGTCACAGTCGTAAGCCTATTGATTGTTCCTATCGCAATGAAGAAGTCCGAAAATTACAAAATGCATCAGCAAAACTTGCAGTTAGTTCATATTTTAATATTGAAGCATTAGCGAGAATTTTCTTCATATTTCTCTTTCCACGGTAAATTCTATGTACACACATTTAATACCAGTTTTCATAAATCGTACTCAGTAGTGTTCAAAGATTAATATATCTGACTAAGAATATTTACAGGAAACTTGAAGCTCGGATTTGAAAAGTTCTTCAGAAAATGGAAGTTGAACATAATTTATTTCATTTGATACCGATGCAAACATTTCACTCGTTCATTTTTGTTTGTTAGTTGCATGTGTGATGATTACCTGCATCGTATTGATTAGTCCGGTTTCTGTTTTTTGTAAATTTTATAGTTAAATAATGGTGCAGGTAATTTCTTTAGTCTATTATGCTTCCAGTTGCGGGCTTACATAATTTTTTTCAAATGATTCTTGGTTTTATTCATAATGGAATATTTGTCGTCATTTTCTGGGAATATCAAGAATCTTCATTTAGTGTATTTAATAAAAATAAGGCATGTTTTAAATCAAATAATCGTATTTTTCTATTCATTTTGTGAACTTTTATTGTTTGGATGAGGAAGGTTAAAGTACACGTTAAAGAATAACGCCGATTAATTAATCGCACTTATTTTCGTCAGCAACAGTTCATTTACGAACATTGTTATTAAGTCTAATATTAAAATAGCTACATTACGAAACAGGATAGTTGGCTAGAAAGATTCATACAGAAGTCAGTGCTAGATACTTGGTATGGTGTAGTGAATTAATTTAAGTTAATTAATTGCATTTGAGAACTGAAGATAAAACTTATTTTTATGATTGGATTCGCTTTTTACTACCAAAATGCGAGCTAAACTGATCAGAGTTCTCATTTAGTGAGGCTAGTATATATACTTCCGAAGCTAAACAGATATTTACAATAAAGTATCAACTTTTGTAGGGATAAGCGTAATGTATGAAGTAGAGAATGCATGTGACCAAAAATACAGTTGGCAAAATGACTCGAAATATGTAATCTAAAATCTTGGCCAAGGCTGTTGGCTGACGTTCCGGTAATTGGGCATAATAAGGCGTGTCATTGAACCACTGCATTTTTTCATCGCATTCATCACCAAAACTCTGAAAAAGGCTCACATCAAATAAATTTGGAGATAATTACGTGAAAACTCAAGGACAGGAATTTTCTCTCCATCACTGACTTGAATTTTCATGGGATGGATTAATAAAAGTAAAGACTTACGTAGATTCGTCTCGGTGGTTTTTGCCCTTTTACATCTTTTTTGCCCACAAAAATAGATTGTAGAAGTATGAGAAAAGCAAATGTAACAATTTGCACATTCCAAACATCAATAGCCTTTGGATAAGATGTTTGTGCCACATTCCGGCTATTCGCGATTACCTAAGAAATGACAAAATTTTTGGCAGATTTTTCGTGAGGAGAGTATTTTGAAAAATTTTTGGGACATTATATGAATAAGTAAGTCCAATCAAATAGGTCGGCTAGATATTCAGGGTCAGATTTAATTTCAATAAAATTGGTGGGAACCACTTCAAAATGCATTAGTATTTCTGTATTTTGCGGTTCACGAATAGACATCTAGAAGCCGAAGTAAGATTGTTCCTCAATAAATTTAGAAATCTTTATCCAAATTTACTACCGAAAGCTTACAATTATAAGAGTAGTGAAGAACGCTGTGGTATTGATGATGAGACGATACTCAATTGGGTTAGTTTTAATCAAAAATGATAACCAAGAACATATAAATAAGAGTACGGTTGGTGCATAGAGTGTCCAAATCCACATCAGAATCGATCTGTAATTTCTGAACTGATAAAAATCAGTATTGATAAAAATCAATCCTTATCTAATCAATGCATGGAAAATACAATGATTAATGTCATGCAAAGCTTTCAATTAACACTTGTCAACATGTCAGCACTATGGGCACAAATCAAACTTTTTTCGTCTTAGATATCAACCAAGTTTAGCTTGCTAAATTCAGCCCCTCTTCACCTTTTCATGCTCAGAACTATTGTTTTCTCTATTCGTTCGCATCCAAGTACGGTCCAAACACCCCAGCCAACCTTGGATATCGTAACCGATGTCATTCCAGCCCATTTGGCTCGAAAATCATCTGAATTGTTTTTTAAATTATTTGAAGATATCTCAAATAAAAATTGATCCCTTACTATCCATTTTCAGCTCTTAGCTGCACATTATTCAAAATCTTTTCTCAGAAATCGTGTATGATTTATAACAATTTTGCAATTATTGTACTATGACAAAGTTTAATACATTTACATTTACTAATTAGGGATCTTATTGTAAGCTAGAATTATTTCAACTCATTTCTCGTCAATAAACAAATGTTGCACTGAATGCAATTGGAAGAAAATTACCATTATGAAAAACTAATGAGCAGTTCCGTTCATCCATCGGAAAAGCACGTAAGTCGTGAATTTCCATCGTTCTAACTGTTAATCTTAAAATCTTTTATTTGTGTAAATCGTGCAGTAGTCAATTGAAATTATGTTAGGTTTTTCATTTTGAAAATAGCAGTAATAATAATTTAACAATATATGTACTTTTCTGAAAATTTATTTGTGTCAGCTAAAATTTTCAAGCTGTACTACCAATTTATGAACATTTAAACAAAATTAGAATTCAGTAAGAAACAAAATTTTGCTATTTCGTGCTCTTTAATAATATTTTTCTAAAATTTAATATATATAATTTGTTTGAGAAAAATCTAGTGCTGATGCAAGAGGCACAGGAATGTGAGATAAACCAGACAAAGTGGACGCGGAAAATAACATCGGAGAGCAGGGGACCACTCCTACTTGGAGCAGTAAACTAAGCGGCGGGTATCTGGATGGGGAGGAATAGGATGATCTTAAGATCTTTGCGACCGATGAGAATATCATGAAATCTCTGGGACAAGAAGTTGAAAGGTTTCTTGATGTGGTAGGGCTAGAAGTAAATTCAGCAAAGTCAGTCACTAATATCGAGATATGCACTGATAAAGCGGCGCTATTGGAAGGAACTCAAGGGTATAAATACCTTGGAATAGTGAAAGACAACACTAGTGTACCTACCCGTGATAGCTACGATAAAGTCCGTGCAGAGATTTTAGTGAGGATTGAGCGGTTTCCCAGAACTGCACTAAATGGCAAGAACTTTATCAAAGCTTTAAGTGAGCACGCCATAAGCCTAATAAATTATTACGTCAGGGTGCTCAAGCTGGAGCCGGAAGACTTCAAGGCCATAGACCAGGACAGATATTAATCAAATACGGAATTCACAAGCAACCTGAATGCTTGGAAAGACTGCACCTGCGAAGGGATAAGATAGGACGTGGACTTCATAATGTTGAGCAGAAGCGTGAGCTTATGCTTCTCTAACTACATAAGATATGCTTCTCCAACTACATAAGATACCGCACTCATTTGTATCACAAGGACAGCGATTCTGAAGTAGGAGAAAGCTCACAACACGTTCTTGGCAATTATTGTGCCCTATA